ATATTCAAATACTTTATATTTACATGGAGGGGACCCTCTCTACGGAGGCCGTCATGTTTTTTACATTAGTCCAGACTGAACAAACTAAACACCTTTTGAGTTTTTATGATAATTAAAGTCTACCACAGGTTCTTTTTCATGTTTGGAAGGAGAGGGTGAGGTGAGGGGTGTTCAGCTGCAACATGACACTTCTACACTAGACCTTTAAATATTGATGAATGATGAAAAAAGTTGGGCTCCAGCAAAAAGGGCACTTTTCTCATCCAGGTCAAAAGGGCAAGCGGTTGAGCACCACTAGGGGTCTATTTGTGCACGTGCCCGTCGAACGTGGTGTTATATTTATTAGTATTTTAGTTAGGGCTTATCTTTATTGCGTTAATTACGATTAATTAATTACAAAAAAAAAATAACGCGTTTAATTGTAATTTATTCTTGCTCTCCAAACAGCGCGGAACGTTTCTCATTGCACAAGTTTTGTGCAAATTGTGCAAGAATGAAAATCACCGGAGCTCTTTCAACATCAGCTACTACCTCAATGCCAAACATGTTGCAGCGAGCACAGACAACGTCCCAATTCACACTCGACAAGATGAAAGGGTTCAAAGCCAAAATGAATAAATCCACGACTGACAAATTAACAAACTCACTGTCGAAATGGATCGCAGTGGACTGTGGACCACTCTCGGTGGTAGAAGATCAGGGTCTAGAAGCGGTGCTACAGATCGCGTCGTCTGACCCCAACCATTTATGATAAAGTGCTTTTTTTTATTTTAAAAAACAAATTTGTTGAAGACAGAGAAAGTTCACATAAATGTCCTGAAAAAGCTTGAATATATCTAAATAGAATTTCAGTTTGTGCCTTGTTAACGATGCAGTCATAATGTTCCTTATTCATATTGCACTTTTTGCTAACACACTGTTTAAACTCATTTATGTGTATTCACTGATTCAGTCATATACCAAAATCCATTTAAATTGAAAAATGTTGCTTCTCGTGTCAAATTGATATGCGATTAATTGAGATTCATTAATTACAAAGCCTCCAATTAATTATATTAATTTTATTAATGGAGTCGCACCACTAATTTTAATATGATTCCTGTTGTGTGAATGCTGTGATTTATAATATAGCCCAAAATCTAATCCGTTTTTTTCTTCTCTCTGTTTGAAGTTGGTGAAACAGGTAAGGTGCCTCAGTCTTTCGATTCCCCACTTTGCCTTCATTTGTAGTAGAATATAAAGCACATGTTACTGATGTTATATTTTTCTCTCACAAACAAACAGTTGTGGATGGAGACTCTTTCACATATTCAGGAAGCAGCTTCACGTACTACCTCCGGTGCAAGGACAATAAAATCCTGCTTCTCAACCCCGCAGGACAGTTTCGACTACAGCACCTATCGACACACGAGCTGTCTCGACATGGTAAAGTGCAGCCACATGAGGGAAAATACTGTACTTTCATTTACACAAGCAGCCGAAGCTGTGTGCTCAGCTGTGAGGCAGAAAACAGTCAGCGACAAACTCATGACAGCATCTACACTGGGATTTTTTACAGCACCTATAACACATTGTACATCCAGAGAGAAACAGCAGCTGCAAACAGAAGTTTTAACACACACTACAAAAACAGCTCTCGCTAACCGGGAGGCAACTGTTTGTTTGTGATGTCATGAGCTCCTCGGAGAAGCTGTTCCATCTTTGGTTTGTTCACGTGCTTTGAAGTCGGAATGTGGAAAAAACGTGTAAACAGGATGTGTTGCATTAAAATACTTTAATTTAAATTGCCCTCCTGGACAAATAACGTCTTTTTTTTACCTGTGAGAGATGGACTTGCAGTTTGCGAGACACAAAAGTGTAACATCTGAAAGGTCCACATCAAAATTTAGACTGTTTAGAGGTGATTGTTAATTGGTTCATAGGCGATGACAGAAACTCGGCAACTCCAACATTTACAGGAACACGTCCTTTCTTATGAATCCAACACATCAGGACTTCCCAATGTGTTCAAGTTAGCCCGTGGCAAACAACTCAAAACTTATTATTGGATGTTAGTTACATGAAATTCCTGCCTCGTGCCACAACAAATAATAGCACTATTATCAATTATCCTTCTTGACCTATTTAAACTACCACTCAATCATGATTGGACCAAAACAGGCATGTGACACATGCAGCTAGGATTCATACTATATTTGTACATAATATACATCTTGCACTAAAGTAAGTGAGAAAAATGATGATTTCATGACTTACATGTGTTATAGCGTGAGCTGTGAAATAAATTAAAGACATTTTATTTGGATCTACATCAAATTACACACAACACATGTTCAAGATTCACACATAATTCTTAATCAATTTAAAGGAAAGAGCCGTGAAAATGTCCTGGTTCTGCCCCCTGATCAGGATCCACTTCAAACCCGAATGGGTTCTTCTCTTCAGTTTAATAGGAATCCAGATTTCTTTGCATCGTCCTGCTAAGGGACAAACAGGTGCAGATTAAAAACATAACCTCCTAGTTTGAGGTAAAAACGAGTTCAGCAACCTGCACCTGCACCTCCAGCTGCAGCTGTGGGCTGTGGTCGGGGCGGCCATGGTTCTAATCGTAGAATTTGGTTTCATAGGTTCAGCCTCAGTTTCAGAATCGTTACTGCCCAGTGGCTAACAGTAGATTGTGCCTTCAGCTGTCGCAGAGTGAGTCATGTGAGGGCACTGCTTCTGGTCGTCCACACTCAATAATAAAAGGCAGATGACGACAAGTTTTAAGATGTAACAGTTGATGATTCCACATTTCTTTCTCAAAAAGACTATTAGCCCACTGCCTCCTCACCTCCACCGTCCTGAGCACAAATGCCCTTGTTTCTGATTGGCTGTAACAGTGTAAGTGGAGATCAGGTCATCCCGGTTTCTTTCTTTCCTGAAAACTGAGCCAGAGCCGAGTATTTAAACCGATTCTTTTCCAGCGTATAACATACAGCTAGCGGCGCATGGCGACATCTTCTCAGAATTGACTCAAAGTGTATTGGATTATTATCACTTACCCGACCTTCAGATACTTCATTTCCCCTCCCTCACTTTCTTCTCTTGTGTTTAACTTTTTCAGATTGCAAATTCAACATCCACACGTACCGTGAAAGTTCCCTTGAGCAAAGGAAGGGGGTGCCCGTCATGCTGTATGCTAACTCAAATGACAAGAAGATGGTGGCGTGCTGCAGCGAGAACAACGAAATCTACCCCGAGGAAATGGTGAGGATGGAGAAGGAATTATGGGATAGTTAGAGCTGCAGCAGTTTTATGTGTAAGCATATATCACTCATCGTATATTGTGCTGCTTAGATTCTTTTTTTGCCACTTATGTTTTTTTTTTTCTACAGGATATCCCAGACGAAATTCCGAATAGTGCACACAAGGCCTTGTTCTACCTGATACATCTCACAGCTGACAAGTTCATGTTCGAGTCCACTGTGTACCCTTCTAAATTCCTGGGATTCACTTGTGTCGACGGGAATCCTTCTCTGAAGAAACTAGTCTTGCGTGGTGAAGGTCCCGATGGCGTTGACGAGTCCGCTGAGGCTATTTTAGATAGATGTAATTAATCATTTCAACAAGTCATCATAAAAAACAGACCCTGTTTGTTGCATTAAAGATAAATTGCATACAGAGCTGCTGTCCTGCAAGTTTTTTCTTTTCTGCTGCTCGCCTCTACAAAAAGATTCTTGTTGTGCCACTTATACGTGTGCTGTGGAACTATTGTAGGTTTAAAGGGATAGTTCACCCGAAAATGAAAATTCTCTCGTTATCTACTCACCACTATGGCGATGGAGGGGTGGCTGAAAGTGTTTGATTCCACAAAACACTTCTGGAGTTTCGGGGGTAAACAGCATTGCAGCCGAATCCAATACAATGTAAGTAAATGTGAATGTAACCTAGAATGAGCCCCTATATTTAAATACTTCATATTTACACAATCAGAAATATCGGTCCCCTGGACGTGTCGAGGTTCATGAATGATTATCTGTGAAGTAAAGAGTGTGAAAAAGATTCCTGGATCAGCACCGACATTTAAAGAGTTCTTCCCTGATCTATATCACATCCTCTCACCAAGATTCATGGAAACTATTTTTGAGTAATCGTCCTTACAAACAAACAAACACATGGACGGGGTGGAGGTCATTACGTATTGATTGTGGTAACATGGAACACTCCAAGCTAACTTTTCCTTCTCATTGCTATTTGTCATTTCTAGCCTTGACACCTGGTGTCACAGCAGCTGCATACAGGACCTGTTCACTGAGCGTGTTTGTCTTCTCCCCTCTGTGGCAGTTTATTGTTTCTGAAACAAACAGGTATTCAGAAACGATTGTTGCTTTAAATTTAGATTTTTAATCTTATCCCACATTGTGTAAAAGTGAAGATGCGACTTTCTTACATACTTCATACATCTGTCAGAGTGTAGATTTCTGTTCAGTGATAAAATGCCATAAGTATGAAAGCATGAAGACAAGTTTAATCCACTGAAGCAGGAGCAGTGCACCCGTCTCACATCTAACTTTGTGCGTATAATCTGACAGGAGATCAGCTGAACAGATATGACAAATTGACGATTGATGCGCTAAGCAAACAGACCAACACCAAACTCGTTAGCGCTCATAAACATTTACTGCATGAACATTGTGACAAAGGACTGAATCCGTGAACCCGACCTGTGACCCTGCTCATTCCAGCCACACAAAAATAACTGCTGGTAATAGCTGCATGCAAGGACAAGCAATTATATGCTGTGAGAAAATGTGCCAAGATTACATTTGCTCTATTTTGCTTAAAGGTTGTAAATTATTTGAAAGCGGCAAAAATAAATTTAGAAAATATAGTTTGAAGTTTGCTGACTCACACAGTGGAAGGAGTTTCACACATTAAATACAACACGAGTCAATATGTTACAGAGGCATTCATATGACTGACACCGTTAAGGTCTTGAGTGATACTTGGTTGGCAGAGGACGGCATTTTGCAGCTGTTAAATTCAGACCCTGCTGTGGCTGTTTGCTGCTCCCTCCTGCAGGAGACGCACAGGTCGGCTGAGTGTTGCTGAATGGCTTGAATTTAAAATCTAGCCTCCCTTATCCTTAATGAACCTTCACGAGAGCAGCAGAACTCATATCCAGGATTAAAACCGGCCAATACAAGCAAATCCACTCAACTCTGCACAAAACAGTCTCTGCACACTCGGCTGAGGAACATCTCTCACTGTAAAGCTGCAGACAGCGTTTCTGTCAGACAGGAGTACGCTCTGAACCGTGCTGTACTGTGATGATGGGGGGGGGGGGGGATGTGGATGGTGAACTCCTGTATAAACAAAAGTTAAATCTGTGAGGGCTGCCCTCTTATTCCTGAAGCGTTACTGAGCAAAAGGCAGCGTATACTTGTTGCGTTTGAAAGAAAATACATTTAAGACGTCAGCGACAGAAAGGACCCGAACCTGGAAAAAAACAAAAAAACCACCTGAAGCTATTTTGTTGCATGTCCCTGGTAAATATAACATCTGCAGATCAGGATACTGGATTTCTCGTATTTTGGAATATTTGGTCGTGACATTTAATAACCGGACATGTTGCTTTGTGAGAACACAGCTTGAATTTAGTCGACACTGAACAAAAAAAGAGAAGCTCATCTCCCACATGTAAGGAAAAGATTACGGACTCCTGTCGCCCAATTATTACCCAAACTTAGCTGAGCAAGAACTTAATATAAAGACCGAGCCGGAACTGATAGACATGAATTGCAGTTACACACATGTCAATCACTGTCAAAATGGTCAACATGATATATATTTATAAGAATTTACATAGAACACCTTCAATTTTTTTTTTACAATCGGCCGGGACAAGATTGCTCCCGTCCCGGCGTCTGGGTCCTCCCAAGTCCACAGTCATTCATTTGCTCCAGAGCAGGGCAATGGCTTTGCAGATGCCGACGTCGTTGTAGTTGAAGTAGCAGAGACCGGCGAAGGTGACCGTGGACAGGAGGAAGAGACCTGCGTTGGCGGCCTTGATCTTTGCGTCACCGTGAACGTAGTCTGTCAACACCTGCCCCAGGCCCCTAAGAGACAAACACAACGTGCAGAACAGATGAGCGGTGAATGAATAATTAAAAATCCAAATGACAGAAACACTGTTCATAGCGGTGCATAATGTTTTTAGCCATGTGCTCCCGTTTCAATTTTTCCGTCAGAACATCGTCAGTGTCCGTCAGGACTCAACCTGGTCTGATGTTTGTCATGTCAAATTAGTTCGAGCCTGATATTCGGTCAGAACTGACAGCCCTGATATACAGTGAGCCAAACATGCTGCTGATTATCGAAGTTTAATAAACTAGACTTAAGATTAAATCTGTTAGAAGTTGTAAATGTCAGTTGATGCGGTCAATACTCTGCATGTGTTCACGAACTGTCAGTCAGGTGTCTGCTAAGTCCTGTTCCTCCTCCCTCCCCCGCTGACCTGCGCTCACTTTACATGTTAACAATAGACACCAACAACAATCAGAAGTTTTGAGGACACGTACGTAGTATTAAATACTATGAGTATGTGCTGACAGCCCCTCCTCTGCCCAACATTCACCAGGGTGCCTCACTTCAAACATTCCTCAGTGCTATAAAATCCTATTAGACACAGACACTGCTTATCCTCAGTACCAGATGAAAACAGGAAGCTTTCTAACCTTTGCGTTCTTCGACACCAGATGACACTTGAGTCTTTATTTAATCTGACCCTTGCAGACACCAACGATCCCCTGAGAGACCAGCAAAGCCTGGTCTGTGGCCTCAACCTGCCACGCTGTTCCGCGCTCTAACTGATGGTAGAGCACATCGCTGTGACACTAAGCTGAAGCCACCTGCTCGAGTCTGCTAACAGTCGCAACTAACCAAGTCTGAATTAACCGCCGCAGACAGCTTCGGTGAGACGGATGAAAAAAACCCAAAACCCTGGCTCAGAGTTAGCCTTGTGTCTGTTAAATCTTTGTACTGAGTCGCGACCTTTGGCGACAGAGTTTGTGAAGGCTTCAAAGGACTCTGACTCATGCCTCAGTTCTCTTGATCTGTTAAATCACAACATGTGGGTGTTAAGATCACCGGGGTGACGTTTAGACAAATTCACAATTTCACACTGGAATACACTTCACTGAGGACCTCATGTGATGAATCCAACCTCCATGTTTGCTTTTTTTCCCAGGAGAGGTGAGGTCTGTGTAAGTACCTGGTCATTTTGGAGGCTGAGGTCTGTGGCACCGTTCCATTTATTTTATACAAGTGTTTCTAACATTCAGTCTTCCATGATGACGTAAGCAGGGTACACAAAATAATACAAGAAACAACTATCAACCACAAAAAATGACCAACGCCTCTGTAAAACAGCGATTGACGATATACATAACTACGAGTTTACGTGAATGATTTACAGTTAAATATTAACTGTTTAAACATTCTAAGCACAAGCAGGAGCTACTGAAGTGTGAGCACATGGTTTTGAGTGAAAGCATAAATGTCCTGGTCTGAAACTGAAGGATCTAGTTTTTGAGTGAATAAAACAAAATGCGGGCTCTACCTCCTCCTTCCTTACACAGCGGTTACACGGAGGCTTTCGGGTCATTGTAAACCTGAGGTGCTTCGAATGAGTCTGTGACAGACCTCGACAGCCAAGAGTCAGAGCAGCCGCACGTGTGTGATGATGTGTGAGTCCTCATGTTTTATTGTTTGTAAAGATAAACTCGTGTTATTAGAAATGTTGAATTGGTGTTTATGTGTCACAGACACTTGACAATTCTAAATAGAACATTTTATTCTCATTGGTTAAAGATTAGTGGCCAATTAACGAGCATCAGTTCAACTTTTTAGATTTATGTACTTAGGTGTGCGACTGTAAATAACCATCCCTACCACTGAGACATTAACTGATCCGACCTTCCTAACCACTAACCAACCAGCAGAGAAAACATGTCTGCTGTGTAGTTACCATGCGACAAGGAAGTTAATCTACATCATCAGAAACCTGCGGGTTGGCAGTGATTCAATACATTTAAATGTAAGGACTTCGAAAGACAGAACACGTTCAGCAGCATTAGAGAAGGTATGGCACCTTCAGACGTATCTTACCAGTGGCCATGCAGTGTCAGCGCAGCAGCCAGGGAATAGTCAATGACCGGACCAGGGCTATAATAGGCCACGGGTCCCATGGCCAGCAGCAGGATGCTCAGCACTCGCTCCGCTGTCCAGTGCAGGGAGGCAGCTTTGGAGCCGGCACCGGCTGAGGAGCAAGAGAAACAGCAGAGTGTCAGCAGACACAATCATCTGCCTGGTAAAGCCAAAGACTTTATATAAATTAACAACAGTTAATTGATGTATATTACAGTTGTACAGTGTGTGTGTGTGTACACACACACACACACACACACCTGTGTAAAGATGTTAAACATAGCACTTTATTGAAACCACCCTTTTTGTCCACGTCCAAAAATATTGGAACATGTGACTGACTCGGTTCCCTTTTTCGATGGATTGTGAACATAAAATAGCTCGTAGCACCTGCTCTTGGATTTCACCTGAGAAAACTGTCTGCTGTTAAAATTAACAAGAGCAGAGAGATCATTTGAAGTAGAGAAAAGAGGAAAAACTCTGCGTACGGAGGAAGAGACACTGAACAGGTCGGCTAAGGAAAGCTCATGACAGAAACACTGTGAGAGCTGTGAAAGAAAAAGCTAAATGATACCTAGTTTACACCAAATTTTAAATTGTGTGTAAACCTGTTTAGAAAAGGTGATTAGCTCCTTCCCCATTAACAGTAGAGGAGCTGCCTTTCAGTTTTTTTTTTTCCACCGGTGTGACCTCGATGTCACAAGCAACAACAACAATCACCTCGAGACGCATTACCAACACCTTCTGAACTGGAGAATGGAACAACTGCGATTGTACGAGACTTCAAGTTAATATAATCTCCATCAGAACATACTGACAATCAGTCAACAAGACTAATGTCAGGTAAACCAACTTTTGGTGTTTAACAGATAAACCTGACTTTATCTGTTAATGACTCGCTAACCCAAAAAGTGTGGGAGGTCTGCAGACCTCACGTGAACCTGGTGTCAAAAATACTGACACCACTGTCGCATCTGGTGTGGACCACACTACACCAGGACTGTGGGCCAGCTGCTGTGTGTCAAACCACACAAACTGAGCTCCCTGCCATAGCACCTTACTTTTCTTAAAACTGAGCTCTTTTACTTTATTTGAATTCGCTTTATTTAAAAGGTCCTCTCTTTTTTATCTTCTCCATGATATTACTCTGATTGCATTGCCGAGCTCACCTGTCCTCCTTCTGTCCAACCCTTACCCATTAGTTGGTGCAGGACTGCTCGATATGGCCAAAACTGATATCAGGATAAACATTTTCATACAAAGCCAATATCGATAAGTATCTTGATAAATGTCACATTATTATTATTTAAGTTTAAAATCAGATTTTTGCTCTGGAGTGAGTGTGTGGTTCCTCACTCCTCTTCAT